CGGGGGTATCGGCTACTCCCCCCAGTTTCGTGTCATCAGCAACCTTGCTGAGGGAGCACTCTGTGCCTTCATCCAGGTCATGGATGAATAAATGGAACAGGACTGGACCAAGGACTGACCCCTGGGTCATTAGCTACAGGTAGCTATACAGGCATCTACATGAATAAAACATGTCTATGTGATGACAGTAAGAACAAAATTGCCAATTTGTCTTTGATTTCCATGCTTTTTAAAGGGCCTAGATATCAGGGATCACTTGGATAAAGGCTGTGGCCCTTTGCCTATCCATCAGGATGCCAGCGCCACTTCATATGTCAAGTATTAGTCAATCATCTTGATAAGAGAGGGTGTTTGACCTCACTAACCTTCAAATTCACCGGGAAGTATGTTTTTTTTCACATTATCTATTATTATTACGGGGATCACTACCTTGGGTCTCCACCTTCAGTTGGAATGACAGAGCACGGGGCAAGATGAGATGCTTTTGCCCATTCGCATCAGGAAAGTCCACATGGGTGGATTCCACAGGTATAACTGGTGTAAAACTTACCAAATTTTTGAAGGCAGAAAATGTGTTTTTTCCCCTTTTCCTTAGAAACATTACATATCTGCAGTGTTTACCTGGATAGCAATATCTTATCTACTTTAAGAATGAAAAAAACAGAATATGTTAGAAAATTCTGTTAAGATATGTTATGGCACAGTACATAAAATACATTTGTTTTAGTTTAAAAAATGAAAAAAAAAACACTTAGGAAAAAAGAGGAGCTAAATTTCTCACTAAAAATCTTGCATGCATTTGCCTTTTGTCATATCACTGAAGTGTGTGAAGGAAGTAGATGTTGAAAATAGAAAGCATCAGTGTTTGTTGACTTACAAACAAAGAGGGTGATTATGGGTGCAATCCTTTTGCAGTTACAAACAGAAAATGTTATCACACAGATACAGAGGAAACCAATTGCAATGTTTGTAGCAGAACACAAATAAGACTGAAGAAGAAATCTGACCTACAGTATACAGTGCATAGAACGCTGCAACTAGATTTAATACTTTTAAGATTAGAAAAAAGTAGGTAGAAAATACTAGAAATAAGAAGTATCTTCTGAAACACCCTAGTTCAAAAAAGCATTCTGACAACCTTCAGTGTAGCATTCATGATACCACTTAAAATTTTGGGCTTTTCAATATGCAAGAAATAATTTACACACAAATTTCATCTTTCAACTTTCTAGAATTATTCCAGAAGGACTATTCTCAGAGGAAAAAAAAAAAAAAAAAAAAAAAGCTTTAATAGCTGTTTTAACAGCTGCCCAAGCTTTACATTTCCAGTGGAGCCAGGGTGACGTTAGTGAGCTCTTGTGAGCATCGAGCCACGCAAACGCACCAAAACAATAATTTAATATCCTCTTCCTATACACCTAATGTCCCTTCTACTTTCTGCCTTTCTCTGGCATTCTTGCTCAAAACAGGAACAAACAAATTTGGATGGAAACACCTTTAACAGAGTGTGTGTCTTCTGCCAGGTAACTCCAAGCAAATCGTAAACCACTTAAGTTTGGCAGGATACAGTTTTCAAAGAATTATTGAGCTACTACTATACTTGAACTTTGCCATTTACCATTAGAGTTGAACAAAGGATGCTTGTATATCATCACAGCAGTCAACTATGTTTTGAACTATAACAGTTTATAAATAACTCCTGTAAATTCTCAAAAGGAGTCTTTAGCACTTTATGCACAAAGTCCCAGTGAAAATTAATCCAGTAGCCAGTAGAAATACACCTTTCTGTACACACCTTGCTCTGCACATATGAAAACATGCAATATTTCAATTATGAAATGCCCTTTTCCAAAGTAAAAGAACTGCATATTTGAGGATATTGTCCAAGAAGACTGTCTGCCCTAAGAAGAGGTACCCAACAGCAGTGGAAATGCTAGTGCATTCTGTACGCAGAGAACATGCCTGGACTCACGGTCCCTGCCCTTACTGCAGCAGCGCTACGGAGCTTTTCCCAGTGCAGACTTTTCTTTAGGGCAGCAGCTGGCATGTGCTGCCAGGATGGCACCATCATGCCAGTCTTAGTTAACTTAGGGTGCTGCCAGGTCTCCTGATGCCTGCTTGGACATACCACAAAGATTTAAGCAAAGTCTTCCAGCACACACTAGGCGTGGGAGAGGGGAACTACTTTAGAACTGAGGGTAGAGGTCAGTTCCAGCACTGACAGACTCCTTGGTGCCTGTGAAAAGAGCAGTACATATGAGACCCTAATACCACAAAGACTTGGGCAATATTTATTCAAAGTATGTGACTGTCAAGTTTCAAAAGCTCATTCATGTGATTGATATATGTGGGTGCATCTTGTTGGCTCAGTTTCTGACGTATATCCATAACTGAGAAGCAAACACTAATCTGTAAGGAAAAATTAAATTCTTCAGTTAATAAGAGCATCAAAAAAGCAGAAGATGGAAATTACCTTTAGAGTTAATATGGATGTAAGTTTGTAGGTAAACAAGAAAATATCATAGAATGCTTAGGGTTAGAAGGGACCTCTAGAGGTCATCTAGTCCAACCCCCCTGCACACCCAGGCTCACCTAGAGCATGTGGCACAGGACTGCAAAAAGTTATCTGCTTCACCACTGAAAAGTTCTAAACCATAATTGAAACATCTCAGTTTCTGAAGCAAAGTACATTTATTACAGATTATTGCTACATTTTAACTATTACAGGCAATATAATTTACAATATAGAGCTATTAGAATACATCATTCAATGTTCTAGTTCTGTTTACAGTGTAACATATTAAATATTTTTGGAGAAATTACAAACAGCAAAACATAACTGGCTTATTATTTTGCATCTGAAATGTGAAGCTTTTACAGTGTAATGATTAGTTTACGTGTGTTTGTGTATAACAAATCTCACTGTGCACAGATAGTCACTGATACTTTTAATCTTTTGTCTAGCTTTTGATACACAATAAATTAGACATTGGCATTTTAGGTATTAGATACTAGCATTCATGTCATATAAAGACTTATACAGCAACTAAAAATTCTTGCATTATATAGAGAGACCATTTATACTTATCTGTAGCACAGAAAGCACCAAAATGGTCTTGTGCAATTTTATGGAGGCACAGAAAAATCATGCAGCAGAAACATCACTGTTTGTCTTTAGCTACGCTTTCCTTCATTAGTATCTAGTGCTAAATCCTGAGAAATCAAGCTTGGAAATCTCCTTTTCATTAGAAAAGTTTGTTCGGTCTATGCGAGAACTTGGGCTTCCAACTTTAGTCAGCCAGGATTTCCTGCAAGAAAAATAATAATGAGAGGATTAGCTTGTAACAAACTGTACATGTGGGGTTTGTTTTCCTATCATGTGTTCACTGTTTAGGAGTCAGCCAAAGCAAAGACGTTTTCACTAAGGAAATCACCTCAAATACGTGAGATTGCATCTTTGTTTCCCCTCTTTCTTCTTCAAAAGTCAAAAAAATTTTTTTGAATTCACCTTAGTTTTATCATGTGATAAAAGGAGGTACATAAGCAGTTTTGAAGTGCAGCAGATGAGATTGTTTACAAATAAAATTATGTATAAAAAGAAGTACTATTTGATGAAACAGGAAACAGGAAACAGAATAGAAAAATGATTTTTCATTATACTGAATCTCAAAAATAGGATGGAGAAGATATTTAGTGTAATATATTTAAAGAAACCAGCTTCCTACTGTGTAATGGGGTCCTCACGGGAAGAAAACCGTTATGATATTTCAACAGGAGCAGAAAAGCTAAGTAACAACAGACTGATAAAAATCTGCTCCATTTTGTTCCATATTATGAAAAATTTGAAGAGCTCCGTATTTAGCAAAAAAAAAAGTCTCTAATATATCTGTATGACCTTGAGTTGGAAAAGAAATTTAGCAGATTTATGAAATACAGTATCACTCAAAACCAAGATCAATTTGCATTATTTTAAAAGATTAATGTAATATCAGCACATGAGCAAACTCCCAGAAGTTCATCGTTGGTGGCTTCCAGTTCCTAAGCGTGGCTGCACAAAGAAAGAAACGCCGCACGCAGCATAGCACTCACTCGTCGGTAAATGTGTCAATGGGTAGCACTGATCAAGACTGGTCCAAACTGATCCAAACTCTCAGGAAAACACTGAGAAAATAACTGTGGCAAAGTCAGAACAAGAGATCACTCTCAAATAACTGCTCACTACTGTGTTTTATTTCCCAGCTCCTGCACGCATATGTGACAATTCCTGGTCATGCTCTGATTTCAGTTTATGACAAAATTAACCATGCAGACACTACATGGACTCAACCCTTTAACGGTACATTTATGAAGTACATGACTTCCCTGTCACGCAGGGTGAATGGCACCACCCAGAAAGGGGCAGACAGCAGCTCCCAAGCTGCGCAGGAGGCCACCACAGCAGCAGCCTTGGCTCCCCCTGGCACCCGCCCCTGCCGGGGTGAACACCTCTGACAGTGCTCACTGCAGGCATGAAAGCCCGATTCCGATTGGCTCTCAGCTGCTGGTGGTGCCTGCTGGTCACTGGTGTGCCCGCTCCCCCTTGCCCTTCCAGAAGCTTCCATAACAAGCACCATTGTTTTGAGTGGGGGGGTTTCTGCTTTCTTGGCAGGGTCCATATGCATTGATAGAGCAGCTTCCTCTCCGATCATATGCCCACAGGAGTTCAAGGAGCAAGTGGATTTATCATTCTTCTCCCCTTATCATTTCATTATATAAAATTACTTCTACTGAGTGAACCTGACTTGTTACCTAGGCAACTGAGGTCTTTCCCTTTAAGGTAGGATTGGAAATGGCAGTCTAAAGAGCTGGTTTTGCCTTGTCCTCATTTAGATTCTCATGCAAACAGCATGGTTGCACACAGTATTTAAAGCATGCACATTTTTCCTTGCAGACTTGCATACATGCACCTTCCTGAACCGGGAATCTAGGTGCTACTCCCATTGACGCTTATAAGCTTAGGCCTCCCCTTTGCGCAACCACATTACCCTGATTCCTTGAACAGCATTTCCAACGCTCAGTAATGTTTCAAAAGCTTTTTTTGTCCACAGCTCCACAGGATTTCCAAGGAACCTCTGCTGGGGTATGTCAAGTGCTTTGAAAGATCAAAGGTGGAGGGTTCCCCAGAAGTGCTTACTTTACTTACTTTTACTCTCTAATACAAAATTATAGTAGCACTGCCATAAATATCAACCCCAGACAGGCGCCTGGGAAGCAAAGTCAGAATTTGCATGCACATAACCCATGAATGCCATCAGTGACACCTTACAAACTCATCCTATACTACAGTTTAGATTATATACTGAACTGTAGTATATGTAAGAAGATTAAGGCACTGGCAAGAGACTACACAGCTTTCTACATCCTGACTTGTAGTGCAAGTGCACATCTGATCACTTTGGGAGCTACAGTTGTCCATGGTTCACAGGAGAAGAGTGATATCATTACATGGGCACCCAGGCTTCACACCTGAAAAAACCTTCATAACAACTTGCATTAAATACACCTCTGTGAGCTAGCACAGAGGCTAAGGTGCATACAGGGCAAGAACCTTTGGATAGGATATCTATTTTAAATACAAAAAAAATCATAGTTTAACTATATCGTCTTTCATGAATCCTATGTCATTTACAATGACAAAGAGAACAGTGGAGGGGTTGTGGGCAAGCCAAGCACTAAACAAGTACATAAAAAATAGTGCATTTAATAGACTGTATGTAGAACCATCTCTTGTTACTTATTGTATGCAAAAAGCCAAGCTCCATGTTATCAGACTGCACCAATTTTGCAGTCCACAGAGCTAGAAATGGACCTGGAAAAAGACCTACAGCACTAATGCTTAGTGAGCCAAGCATGATTTAAGGATATATAGTTTTTTCCCTTTCACCTTAATTACAGCATCCCTTACACTGGAACGAGAGGGGGAAAACAAAAAAAAAAACCTATGTTTTAATCCAGTGCAAAAGAGAAAATCTGGAAAAAAAGAAAAAACCTGAATTGCTTACACTTTATTTCCATTTGTTTGGGATAAAATATTTGACAGAATGTTGCTTTTTGAAGATTGTATTTACATGTGTGACAGTGTATAGACTGGAATTGCAAATATTTATACAACAATATTTTGGAGGTATTTTATTTTGAAACAGTACCAAAGTTTTCCAAGTTTTTCTCTACAATCATAATGCCTAGAGACATGTCAACTTAAAGCACATTAATATGAAATGCACATATAAGTAAAACCTCTAGCATCTTTTCTTTAAAACTAGCCATTATAAAAACTGTAACAGAACATTGATAAACATCTCTTATCAGTATAAACACTATATGCAAAAGTATATTCACATATACATATAAATAATGTTTAAATTATTTTAAAAATTTTCATAAATCCTTCACAAAGATTTAACACCAGGATTTATAAGTTAGTTCACAAGTTTTTGGTAGAGTGAGAATACTACAGGTATTTTTTCAGATCACACCACAATTCATATAAAACCAAACAAAATAATGTTTTCAAAACTACTTTTGTTCACAGGACAAATACAGGATTTCCTGGCCAGAAGGTCACAGCTTATCATGGGGTGAAACATTTCTGTAGCAAAGTAATTTCAATGCAAGATGATTAGAGTATGACCTGTTTCTCCATTAGGGTCATTACATACGTGTGCTGTGAAAACCAGCTGACAGTTGCCCTTAATCCTCCATGTTTTGCACAAAGAAAATCAGAGGAGCCAGGTGCATCTCAAAACAGACATAGCATCGAAGTCAGAGGTGAATTAGTCAGGCCTCACATCCCTAGGCACTGTAATGCACTGTAATGGCCAGTATGTCTTTGCAGCCTGACTCCAAAAAGGCAGAGACCATCAGCCCAGCACCCAGCATTAGTGCAGCTACAGCACGCACCAGCCCGTGACAGCTATTTTGCTTCAGCTGTATTGCTGACTTGCTGGGAGCAACTTTAGAAAACATTTAGTATAGCACAGAAAACCTCTCCCAGGTGTTGTGTCTCAGAAGCCGGTACTGAGTAGTCCCCATCATCCCTGCCTCTGCTCCTGCACAGGAGCTTAACGGTGAAAGAGGAATTTGGAAACAAAATACACAGGTATCAATGCTGATGTGAAAAAGAATAGCAAAAAGGATAACAGAAGCCTTGGTAACAGAAGTGTATTTGGAAATACTGTTTTGACATGACTTGAATAATAGCATGACCTGAAGAAATGCACTTAGCTTTTTAACTTTACCAGCAAAAAAATCAAGGCAAGTGAAGCGGAGAAAGTTATTCAAAGGCAAAGTCTGGGACCTCTTACTGACCATCATCCCCTGCCCTGAGTAATTTTGCAATTTTCCAATCTCTGCTCTAGCTTGGGGTAAAGCCTGCAGCCTCCTGAGGGGAGAGGCGGCTGCCGCGGGAGCCATGCGGAACAGCCCTCCGTGCTTCCATGGAAAGTGCTGCCCCCGCCGGGAAAGGGCTTCAGGCAGTTTGTAACCTGTGGTGCCTCCTGCTCCATAAAACACCAAACATAATGCTGGCGGCAGGGACTGGGACCAGCGGCCGGCACTTGGCTGCGTGTCAGAGCCTTTTATACACATACCTTTGGGAGGAAGGGGGAAAGCAGCAGAGGGAGAGTAAGGCTAACTGCAAGGGAGAAGAATTTTAGTGCACTTAAGACGACCTCGCCAGAGTCCTCCAACAAATCGAAGTCATGCAGCAGGTTCAGCTTCAGCAAATTAAAGCCAAAAGAAAACCACCAGTAATCCAGGGCCACAGGCCAAGGAGTGGGTAGGCAGGAACCAAGCAACACACTTGGTGTAGGTGGGTACCCCAGAATAGAACTGACACCCGTCAGTGCGGGAGGCCGGAGCAGCGACTGCCTCTGCCCTAGCTGCACCGGGCAGTGAGAAGGCAAATTTGTTGACCCAGTGAATCCTTAGCAGAAGGTCTTTAATCCTTTTAGAAATGGGAGGGAAAAAAAGAAGATATTTAATCACAACTAGTGTTTGACTTTGTGTTTTTTTTTTTTTTTTTTTTTTTTTTAAACACAGGTGTCTGATGAAAGTTATTAATGTGTTTATATTTCTTCCTTCTCTGTCAAACTCTAGCTAGCATTCAAGGTTAGCAATTCCCTAGAGAATACACAAGAAGAATTTCTTTGAGGAACTACTTGAAAGTAATGTCAACACTAAGGACAAATTAGCAGAATCTCAAGTATTAAAGACACCGATTAGATGGGATACCCTGAGGATACTCAAGAGACTTCAAAAATACATATTT